ACACCATCATCCATAAGGCCTTCATTCTAATAAGGGCTTTCCACCAACTTTTAACTTGACATGCAACTGAATCAAGTTTTTACCCATTCTGCCTATTTCTGTTTTTCATTGAAGTTTCATTCTTGTACATTTAAAGAAATTATTCCTAAAAATTGACTTTTACTATTTTACTCTTTGTTTTCTACACTACTCTTTTGTAGTTAATTGAATTTTTTGTAGTAAATCATTTTAAGTTCCTTAGTTAATTCATTTTTACTCTGTTCTGTATCCATTTTTGTTGTTATAATGAGGATTGCATATGACATTCTGAAGTTACTGTTTAGCATTTATTTCAAAAGTATACAGAACCTCTTGTATGTAGCTCTGTTAGCACCTTTCACTTATTAATGTCACAGAAATTTAATGTTTATTTATTATGTGCCCAATAGAGCCTAATTATTTTTTAAGATATATTATCTCTTTATTATCTTTTTAAAAAATTCATTTATTATTTATTTATTTTACTTTTGGTTTGCTGGATCTTTGTTGCTATGTGAGCTTTTCTCTGGTTGTAGCAAGTTCAGTGGAGTTGTGTGTAGAGTTCTTATTTCAGTGGCTTTTCTTGTGGAATACCATCTCTAGTGCACTCAGACTTCAGTGTGGACTCGGTGATTGCAACTCTTGGGCTGTAGAGCACAGGCTTAGTTGTGACACTCTGTCTTAGTTGTTTCATGGTATGTTGGATCTTCCCAGATCAGAGATTGAAGCCATGTCTTCAACATCAGCAGGCAGATTATTTACCACTGAGCCACCATGGGAGCCCTATGGAGTGTATTAATATTTCATTTTTGAAGGACACTTTGGCTAGATGTAGAGTTCTCAGTTGAGTGTCTCCCCTTCCAGCATTTTTAAAAGCTGCTGACTTCTGGTCTCCTAAGATTCATGCTGAGGACTTTTCTGATTATGTTAATGAGGATCTTTTATATTTGGTAGATTTGTTATTGGACAGTGTTACAACTGTTTCAGTGTGACTCTAGGAATTCATCATCCTTGTAGTTTGTTGGGCTTGCACATTTGTATCTTGGAATGATATTTGAGAAATTTCTCACCATTATTTCTTCAAATATCCTTTCTGCCCACTTCTGTCCGTTTTCTCTGTGTATTGGTCCACACTGCATGTCTTGGTCCACTTGATGGTATCCCACAGATTCCTTGGCTCTTAGATTGCTCCTCAGTCTATAGTAATTCCATTTCCCTGGAGTTGATAATTTCTGTTGTTCTGCAAGTACAGTGATTCTTTGTTATCTTTGATCAAATCAGATTTTTAATCCCTCTAGTGAACTTCTTGTTTTAATTATTGTACTCTTCTGCTCTCTCTCTCTATATATATATATATATTTTTTTTTTTTTCCTTTTGGTTCCTTTCTGTGGTTTCTGTTGTTGAGTTTTCCGTTTTACTCATGCATTGTTTCTTGACTTTATCTGATTCCTTAACCTCTTATGCATTTTAGCTACAGTTATTTCAAAGTCTTTTGTGAGTCTACTATCTAGTCTTCCTCTTGGACAGTTTGGTTGATTGGTCTTGTGTCTTTAAATGGTCCATACTTTATTTCTTTGTATGCCTTATGATTTTTGTTATTAACTGTAAACTTGAATCTTACAGTGTGGTATTTCTAGATATGAGATTGCCATTACCAAGGTTTGTTGTGTTTGTTGTTTTGTTTGTTTTAAAATGTCTCTTTGCTAGAAGTCAGTCTGAGATGAAAATCTAATCTAAGATGTCTCAGATCATCTTTGATCCTGAGCTTCCTTGGTGATTTTCTAAATTTCCCAAGTGGGATTGGTTTTGAATGTTTTAGTGCTTAAATATCTGGCTCTTCAGAGGGAATAAAAAGGTTAAATGAAGGAGAAAATGATACAATGGATCCTATTTCCTTCAGTCCCCCACGTGCCTCTTCACATGGAGGTGTTTGCAGTAGTGGTGACCCTTGTCTGTGTCTGACTTGTTACGATCAAATGTTATAAATCCACAATCAGAACACAGTTCTCTTACATTTTGGAGGCCTGAGTCTTTACCGCTTATCTTGGCTTATGTAAGCCACTCCAGGGATCTTAACATGACCACCTGCAGTGGAGCTGTGGAATGGAAAAATAAGAAGCTGCTACACAGCTACTGGTTAAATGAACCAAAATTAATCACAGTTTACTGACCATTTATTTCTCTGGAAATTGTAGGCCTTTGTATAGGCTTCACAGGTCGAAAATAATTATATCAGTTTGTGTCAGTGCAATTATCTGGGTATGGAGATAGACCTACTTACTGTGCTATCTTCCATGATGACATTTCAGCTTCCTGATCCTTGACTGTGCCCTTCTGGCCATCCTCTGCTCTGGTCACCTCATGTATCATAGGGACTGTAAGGCAAAAGTACAGCTACTCTCTTCAGACTGTCACCATTGATTCAGCATGCTTTTCGAAGGATTCTCACTGCCTTTGTTTTCTGTGACTGCTGCAGCCACTTCTACATTCACTCTCTACTTTCTCTTTGCCAATATCACTGTCTTTGTTTTTGCCCTAAGTTTCATACATTATAAAAATCACTGTCTTTGGAAATATCCTGTTTATTCATTCTGCCTGCATATCTAAAAATATAACTAGGCAGATGATAATGTAATTGAGTCTTCATTATCCTGTGGTCTTTTTAATACTTCTTTCTCAAAAGTCACTATCCAGTTATAAAAATACCACAGTGAGATACCAATTTTTTGTTAAATATTAACCCTCAACTTTTCTCTACGTCTGCAGCATATGACTGTGCCTTTTATTCCTTAGAGCACACAGAAACCGTCCGTTTGTCAGTCTCTTCATGTCAGATATGTCAGATTAACTGCATTTATATCTGTCTTCTAGAGTCTGTCATTTAGTTTTTTTAGCCATTAATGTTTGTTTCAATGTCTCTTCAGTGGTATATATCTCCATTAGTGGAATGCCAGTCTTCTGATCTGCTATACCATTATTTTTGCTATTACTGTTACCATTGAAAATTAAATTAAAATCTGCATGATTTATTAATCATCTGGTGGTGTATGAGCACTTTGGAGTACCAGAGAAAGAGTTTTAGTTATAGATAATTTGGGCAGAGTCTGTACTAATTTGTGTGCTCTTCTCATTGGGGTTCTCTGGTTTTTCAGCAGTAAAGAATCTTCCTGCAATGCAGAAGGCCCAGGAGATCAGAAGATCCCCTCGAGAAGGGAATGGCAAACTATTCCATTATTCTTGCCTGGAGAGTTCCATGGACAGAGGAGCCTGGACGATTACAGTCCATGGGGTCACAGAGAGTTGGACGTAACTGAGAAAGCTCTCCTCATAGTCTGTCAGTTCAGTTCAGTTGCTGAGTCATGTCCGATTCTTTGCGACCCCATGAACCACAGCATGCCAGGCCTCCTCGTCTATCACCAACTCCCGAAGTCCACCCAAACCCATGTCCGTTGAGTGAGTGATGCCATCCAGCCATCTCATCCTCTGCCGTCCCCTTCTCCTCCTGCTCTCAATCTTTCACAGCATCAGGGTCTTTTCCAATGAGTTAGCTCGTCGTATCAGGTGGCCAAAGTATTGGAGTTTCAGCTTCAACATCAGTCTTTCCAATGAACATTCAGGACAGATCTCCTTTAGGATGGACTAGTTGGATCTCCTTGCAGTCCAACGGACTCTCAAGAGTCTTCTCCAACACCACAGTTCAATTCTTCAGTGCTCAGATTTCTTTATAGTCCAACTCTCACATCCATACATGACCACTGGAAAAACCGTAGCCTTGACTAGACGGACCTTTATTGACCAAGTAATGTCTTTGCTTTTTAATATGCTGTCTAGGTTGTTCATAACTTTCCTTTCAACGTGTAAGTGTCTTTTAATTTCATGGCTGCAATCACCATTTGCAGTGATTTTGGAGCCCAGAAAAATAAAGTCAGCCACTGTTTCCACTGTTTCCCTGTCTATTTGCCATGAAGTGATGGGACTGGATGTCATGATCTTAGTTTTCTGAATGTTGAACTTTAAGCCAACTTTTTCACTCCTCTTTCACTTTCATGAAGAGGCTCTTTAGGTCTTCTTCACTTTTTGCCATAAGGGTGGTGTGTTATCTACATATCTGAGGTTATTGATATTTCACCCAGCAGTCTTGATTCCAGCTTGTGCTTCATCCAGCCCAGTGTTTCTCATGATGTACTCTACATTTAAGTTAAGCAGGGTGACAATATACACCCTTGACGCACTCCTTTTCCTATTTGGAACCAGTCTGTTGTTCCATGTCCAGTTCTAACTGTTTCTTCCTGACCTGCATACAGGTTTCTCAAAAGGCAGGTCAGGTGATCTGGTATTCCCATCTCTTTCAAAATTTTCCAGTTTGTTGTGATCCAGTCAAAGGGTTTGGCATAGTCAGTAAAGCAGAGATAGATGTTTTTGTGGAACTTTCTTGCTTAACTTATAAAAGCAAGTAAGATATAAAAGTAAAAGCTTTTTTTCTCCCCCCTCTGGAATTTTAATGAAGCTCTTTGTAATAGCTGTAATTATTTTGCTTGTAAGGACACTTCATAGTTTTCCTGTATATATCATTTTTGCACTTGGAATGCTTGATGGTTGAACAAATGTCAGCAAGGCTACCTTTTTATCTGTTAATAGTAAATAAAAGAAATTGCTCTTACTCTAAAATTGCCTTCTTTACTCACAAAAGCCTCCTCTGAGTGCTGCTTATTTTTTTCAACAAAATATCCTTCCCATGTTCTTATAGAAAAGTAAAACTGGCAGGTGTTGATTTGTAACAAGTTTACCTGAGAGACTTACTTTTCTTTTTAATAAAATATTAAACAATGAAATTGGGTTTCTTCTAGTATTAAGTAATTTGTGTACTTTCTTATGACTGCTAATTAAAAGAAGTAGAGAAAGTTCCATGATTGTAATTGGTACTTTTCGAGTTTTAAAAATTCTTACTGCTTTATAAACCTAAAGTGCTTATTAATTTTAGCTGGAAGAAAGCAGGAATGTTCAGAAGCAAATGAAGATTTTGCAGAAGAAGCAAGCCCAGATTGTGAAAGAGAAAGTCCATTTGCAGCGTGAGCACAGCAAGGCTATCTTGGCAAGAAGCAAACTTGAATCTCTTTGCAGGGAACTCCAGCGTCACAGTAAGACATTAAAGGTGACTCGGTTCCTTTTACTGTTTCTTTTTTTTTTTTGGAGATACTTAGATTGATTTTATAATCTGTTTGAGGTAAACCCTTGCATCATTTGCTTTAGTGGGAGTTAGTTATAATAATGGCTGCTGGTTGGTAACTTCTGGGTTCAGTTGCTCTGGTACATTAGGTTCCTGAGCAGAGCAGTCTGTGCAGTTCTCAAAGACAATTTGTTCAGTTGCTCACTTGTGTCTGACTCTGAAACACCATAGACTACAGCATGTCAGGCTTCCCTGTCCTTCACTGTCTCCTGTAGTTTGCCCAAATTCATGTCCATTGAGTCGATGATGCCATCCAACCATCTTATCCTCTGTTGCAGAAAACTGTGGCAGAAAGCTCCTTCTGCCTCAGTTGTTCCCAGTATGAATGTCTTTTCTCATGGTTCGACTCTTCATATCAGGTAGCCAAAGAATTGGAGCCTCAGTTTCAGCATCAGTCTTTACAATGTATATTCATGGTTGGTCTTTAGGATTGATTGGTTTGATCTCCTTACAGTCCAAGGGACTGTCAAGAGTCTTCTCCAACACCATGGTTTGAAAGCATGAGTTCTTTGGCACTCAGCCTTCTTTGTAGTCCAACTATTACATCTGTATGTGACTACTCAAAAAACTTAGCTTTGACTAAATGGACCTCTGATGGTAAAGTAATGTCTTTGCTTTTTAATACACTATATAGGTGTATCAGTTTTTCTTTCAAGGAACGAGCATCTTAATTTCATGGCTGCAGTCACCATCAGCAATGACTTTGGAGCCCAAGAAAATAGTCTGCCACTGTTTCCATTTTTTCCCAGTCTGTTTGCTGCAAAGTGATGGGATGGGATGCCATGATCTTAGTTTTTTGAATGCTGAGTTTGAAGCCAGTTTTTCCATTCTCCTCTTACACCTTCATTAAGAAGCTCTTTAGTTCCTCTTTGCTTTATGCCATAAAGGTGGTGTCATCTGCATATCTGAAGCTGTTGGTATTTCTCCTGGTGATCTTGATTCCAGCTGTGAGTCATCTAGTCTAGCATTTTACATGATGTACTCTGAATATAAGTTTAATAAGCAGGGTGACAATATACAGCCTTGATGTACTTTCCCAGTTTTGAACTAGTCCATTTTTCCATGTCCAGTTCTAAATGACAAGTTAGCCTTGCCTTTTACTTTGCTTCGGGGTAGTGCTTTGTGTGTTGTCATTGTATATCGAAGATTCATTCTTTCTAGCCAGCATTGTTTTCAGATGTAAAGAAGAGCTCCTTAATAATAATTCATAATTGATCATAGGGAAATTAGACTGTATTGATACTTATGTTAATAATTGCCCTATTTAGAAAGTTTAAGTTTGCAATATATTCTTTTAATCATTAATGTAGTATTTTTTTTTTATTAGTTGGAGGCTAATTACTTTACATCATTGCAGTGGTTTTTGTCATACATTGAAATGAATTAGCCATGGATTTACATGTATTCCCCATCCCGGTCCCCCCTCCCACCTCCCTTTCCACCCGATCCCTCTGGGTCTTCCCAGTGCACCAGGCCCGAGCACTTGTCTCATGCACCCAACCTGGGCTGGTGATCTGTTTCACCCTAAAAATATACGTGTTTTGATGCTGTTCTCTTGAAACATCCCACCCTCGCCTTCTCCCAGAGTCCACAAGTCTGTTCTATACATCGGAGTCTCTTTTTTTGTTTTGCATATAGTGTTATCATTACCATCTTTCTAAATTCCATATATATGTGTTAGTATACTGTCGTGGTCTTTATCTTTCTGGCTTACTTCGCTCTGTATAATGGGCTCCAGTTTCATCCATCTCATTAGAACTGATTCAAATGAATTCTTTTTAATGGCTGAGTAATATTCCATGGTGTATATGTACCACAGCTTCCTCATCCATTCGTCTGCTGATGGGCATCTAGGTTGCTTCCATGTCCTGGCTATTATAAACAGTGCTGCGATGAACATTGGGGTGCACGTGTCTCTTTCAGATCTGGTTTCCTCGGTGTGTATGCCCAGAAGTGGGATTGCTGGGTCATATGGCAGTTCTATTTCCAGCTTTTTAAGAAATCTCCACACTGTTTTCCATAGTGGCAGACTATACTACAAAGCCACAGTCATCAAGACAGTATGGTACTGGCACAAAGAAAGAAATATAGATCAATGGAACAGAATAGAAAGCCCAGAGATAAATCCACGAACCTATGGTCACCTTATCTTTGACAAAGGAGGCAAGGATATACAATGGAAAAAAGACAACCTCTTTAACAAGTGGTGCTGGGAAAACTGGTCAACCACCTGTAGAAGAATGAAACTAGAACACTTTCTAACACCATACATTAATGTAGTTTTGATTACTATGTCCTCCTTGGATAACAAGTGAAATTTTGGATGAAGTAAATTATAAACTTCAGTCAAAGTGAGTTTAAAGGGAAAGCAGTTACAGAGCTCTACTGTGGATGTTAATTGGGTAGTCCCCTTTACTATTCTCTGCACATCTTCAACTATTTAGTTGCCAGATACTTTAGAACAGTACTTATCTCTTAGCTGATTTAAGGAAAGTAGTAAAGGAAGAGGGACCAGGTATCAAAATTTTTGTCAACAGGGGAAGGAAAAAGAGTAGAGAGGCTCTAGAAAGAATCTATCTCTATAATGGGAACATGTCTGTCTTTAACAGTCATTAAAGAATTGGAGTATTATTTTGATCAAGCATGATTGACATATGATTACTGCTGTTTCTGAAAATTCCAAATATCTAGAATGTAGATATTCTGAATATCATTGAATATTCATTGGGATATCCTGAAAAAATTTGGAATATCCTTAATATTCACTGGACAGACTGATGCTGAAGGTGAAACTCCAATACTTTGGCCACCTCATGCAAAGAACTGACTCATTTGAAAAGACTCTATTGTTAGGAGAGATTAAAGGTGGGAGGAAAAAAGACAAAAAAGGAAGAGATGTTTGGATTGCATCACTGACACAATGGACATGAGTTAGAGTAAACTATGGGAGTTGGTGATGGACAGGGAGGCCTGACATGCTGCAGTCCATGTGTTTGCAAAGAATTGGACATGGCTGAGCAACTGAACTGAACTGAACTGAAGAATATAGGACAACTTTTAAAGTGATCATCATCAAGTGGTGGTGTCTGTGTTTTTAATCCCCTTTGCTTTTTTTTTTTAATATAAAATGAAAGTTTTTGTTTTCTTCTTTAGTTGCCCAGTCGTGTCCGAATCTACAACCCTACGGACTGCAGCACACTGGGCTTCCCTGTCCCTCACCATCTCCTGAAGTTTGCCCATGTTCGCGTGCATTGCATTGGTGACGCTATCAGCCATCTCATCTTCTGACTCCCTCTTCTTCTGTCCTCAATCTTTCCCAGCGTTAGGGACTTTTCCAATTAGTCAGCTATTTGCATCAGATGACCAGAATACTGGAGCTTCAGCTTGATTGTCAGTTCTTCCAACAAATATCAGGGTTGACTTCACTTAAGACTGACTGATGTCATCTCCTAGCCGTCCAAAGGACTCTCAGGAGTCTTCTCCAGCACTACAGTTCAACAGCATCAATTCTTTGGCTTTCTGCCTTCTTCACAGTCCACATGGCTTTCACAACCAAACTTGACTTCTGGGGTGACCATATCCTTCACTGTAGGGACCTTTGTTGGCAGAGTAATATCTGATACTTTTCATCACATGTCTAGGCTTGTCATAGCTTATGTTCCAAGAAGCAATCATCTTCTGATTTCATGGCTGCAGTCACCATCCACAGTGATTTTAGAGCCAAAGAAGAGGGAATCTGTCACTACTTCCACCTTTTCGCCTTCTTTTTGCATGAAGTAATGGTGCTGGATGCTATGATCTTAGGGTTTTTGTCTTTTGTTTTTTGTGTTTTTTTTTTTTAATATTTAGTTTTAAGCTGGCACTTTCATTCTTCTCTTCGTTTTTGTCAAGAGACTAGTTCCTCTTTGCTGTCAGCCATTACAGTGATATCATCGGCATACCTGAGGTTCTTGATTTTTTTCCCACTTATCTCGATTCCAACATCCAGCTCAGTGTTTCTCAGGTTGTGCTCAGCATATAGGTTAAATAGGGTTATAGTTGACAGCCCTGTCATTCTTGTGTCAGTGTTGAGGCAGTCAGTTGTTCCATACAGGGTTCTAATGTTTACTTCTTGGCCCACAACCAGGTTTCTCAGAAGTCAGGTTAGATGGCCTGGTATTCCCATCTCTTTAAGAGATTTCCACAGTTTGTTATGATTCACAAAGTCAAAGGCTTTAGCATAGTTGATGAAACAGAGGTAGACTGTGTGGACAGGCTCCTTACTTGTACGCTGGTGGTGGTTTAGTTGCTAAGTTATTTCCGACTCTTGCCACCCCATGGATTGTAGCCCGCCAGGCTTCTCTGACTGTGGGATTTTCCAGGCAAGAATATTGGAATGTATTGCCATTTCCTCTACCAGGGGATCTTCCCGACCCAGGAATTGAACCCGGGTGTCCTGCATTTCAGGCAGATCCATTACCAACTAAGCTATGAGGGGAGTCCTTGTACTTTCGTTGTACTTTTATAGTTTAATAAATATCTAGACGGTCAGATGGCACTTTTCATCACCGGGCAGTTTGTGTGTCTCTGATTACTCTGTCTGGTTTGAAAACTATCTCTCTGATTACTCTCTCTACTTTGGGAAATTTGCTTGATTTCCAGCGAGAGCTTTGTCCTTATAGACCAAAAGGGAGAAGAAATTTTTGTTCATAAGCATCATTTGGGGCAGCATAATATGAAGGTCCATAGCAGCAGCTTCTTTTTGTTTATTTGTTTATTTTTAGCAATTTAGGTATAGTTTTACACTATTAACAAAAATTATTTTGGACAATAAGGAAGAAAATATGCAGCATGCAAGAGAAGAAGAAGAAAGACGTAAAGAAGCAACTGCACATTTCGAGTTTACTTTGAATGAAATCCAGGCACAACTAAAACAACATGACATACACAGTGTAAAACTCCGCCAGGAAAACACTGAACTGGGAGAGAAACTTAAGAAGCTTATTGAACAGTATGCACTGAGGGAAGAGGTAAAGGTGTTTCTCGTATTTAGATATCTTGTTAGTACCAAAAGGTTTTTGCCCCCTTCATACAAGTCTAAAACTGTCACAGGACAATTTTAGAACTTCTTCACATGTTTAGTGGAAGGCAGGGTTATATCTTAGGAAAATGCACCATGTGAACTGAATTATCATCCCTTGATATCCCAGAAGTCAATGGATTGGATATGTGAGGTGATTGCTAGGAGACAATATTAAGTAGTAATTGTTCTCATGTGATACTGGAAGAATGTGATTAGAGGTTGTTTTTCCTATATCTAACCTAATGATACAGGTTATATTTACTTGTATATACAAAATATACAAGTAAACATTAGCGTGTGTACACACACACACACACACACACACACACACACAAACATTTGTCAGCCAAATGCCTAGTAGCTCAGACTTCTGTGGTCATCTGTACCATGTGCAATACCATTACTTTCCCCTTTCTATGTTGTATTTAGGAGAAGAAAATAGAACTATCACCCAGTGTTGTTGGCACATCTAATGAAATAAAAACTTCATAGGAATGATCTTTGGAATCATAGAAATGATGTGTAGAACCTGGTCATTCTAATTACTTTACAAACTAATCTGGAAGTGGGGTGTTATCTAGATTAAAGAGCAAATTGCTGATAACCTGCTTATGTTACTTTCACAGGTTAGATGTGCATCATGAGAGGCTTTGAGTTTTCCACAGGCTGCATGCCCTGACTTTAATGAGCTTTAAGCTAGTAAAATCCTGCTTCTTTATGTGTTATGAACCTTATGTAAGTCCATGGCTAATTCATTTCAATGTATGACAAAACCCACTGCAATGATGTAAAGTAATTAGCCTCCAACTAATAAAAATAAATGAAAAAAAAAAAAAAAAAAAAAAAAAGCTTCATCTTAAAACTGATAACTAAAAACAAATATGTCCAGTTAAAATGGTAATTTTATTTTACTACCAAAAGGAGATTTGTCTGGTTTTCAGTCAAATTTCAGATTGTCTCAGTTTATAGTTTTATGTATAAAACTTGAAAACATTAAGATTTTTATATCTTTCAACCATTTTTTTCTTTTAATAGTTTTCTTACATCCATAATTTGAAAATTAAAAGTCGAATCGATCAGTTAACTTCACCAAGTTATTCACATTGCATGTAATAACTTTTAAGGTCTACTTTGAAGCAAATCCAAGATGTCATATTATTCTACTCCACTATTTAAAAACACATTTTGAAATGGCAAGATTTTTTTTTAAGCAAAAGGCAATGCCATTTCATACCTAAAAATTTTGTAACAACTTAATCAAATTTTAAGCTTCACATTTTCCCATCTCCCACTATAATATAAGATTGTTTGAGTCAGATCCAGATAAGGTTTGTACATTTCACTGATTGTGATATCTCACGCCTTTATAATTGATAGGTTTTCTTCTCTTTTTTCCCCTCTTGTCATTGTTTATTGGAGATGCAGTTTTTAAGCGTATGCAATACATTTTTTATTTTTAGTATTTATTTTTATCAAGTCAGATTTTTAAGAGGAGTCTTTCTAAGTTTCATTCCTAATAATGAGCGAATATGAAGTCGCTCAGTCGTGTCCAGCTCTTTGCAACTCCATGGACTGTAGCCTATCAGGCTCCTCTGTCCATGGGATTTTCCAGGCAAAAATACTGGAGTGGTTTGCCATTTGAAAAATGTTTGTTCAAGTCATATTACTTGTAAGTCTTATTTGAGATTTCACTGAATTTCCTTTTCCTTTGCGTAAAGAAGGATTTAATTTTTAATAAGTAAGCTATTTACAATTCAAGACAGATTTTTACAGTCCTCAGATTTTTTTAACTTTAAGAAAAGTTTTTTTTTAATTACCTTTTATAAATCAGCCTTTCTTCTTTCTTGGGATCTTATAATGAAGATAGTTACTATTTCTCTATCTGAGAAGGGTGTTCTGATTGTGTACATAAATACCACTAAACAGTTTAAGTTGAAAATGATAATGACCTTTTACCAGTGTCCACTCATGTGCCTGTTACCAAGTCCTTCACTTTAATCATTACATTGATTTTTACAGCAATTCTGCAAGGTAGATGTGGTTACCTACCTTTTTAGGTAAGAAAACTGATTAATCAATGGGAAAAAATTTGTCCAAGATCTTCCATTGAGCATTTGAATTCCTACCACTATGATATGCTACTACATACTAATACCTACACTGTGAAACTTGGGAAAATTTAATAAGAAAAATGTTTAAGAATCCTGTGTTTTTCAGTCTTTTTCTTGATAGTTTGAGCCAGGTTTCAATATAGAGCAGAAATATGAAATACAGACTATTTAGTGAATAGTTCACCTTGAATAAAGACATAAGCATACAGAAGTAGTCACAGGGGATCTTTCCTAGAAGCTTAGGATGGTTTGCAAGGAGATGTAAATAGATGTTTCTTCAAGCATACACAGAAAGACCCAGTGTTACTATGTATCATAATGTTGGTAGAAGCAACAGAGAGCCAGGTTACCATATCTTGTGTTAGCATATCCTCACTAGTCTGTCCCTTTCCTTAAGTGATAGAAGAAATTCTGTTTTCTCTGTAGCATGTTGGTAAAGTGTTCAAACACAAAGAATTGCAACAGCACCTTGTGGATGCCAAACTTCAGCAAACAACACAACTTATAAAGGAAGCTGATGAAAAACATCAAAGAGAAAGAGAGTTTGTAAGTTGTACTTCTTAAAACAATTGTCTCTTCAAAACTGTTAACAAAGCCATTTAAAACTCTGAAACTCATTCAGCATTTTACATTGATGCTGGGATAATTACTAAAAAGGTAATTTGTTTTTTTTACACCTTATATTGAGACATGTTAGAACACATTTTTGTTTTTTATTTCTGATGAAATTTTCATATTTAAAAAAATGAACCATTGTACCAAGTTCAGGGAATAGACTGAACTGAACATATTTGATTTTTCTGTCTAGAATATTATATTGATTTTCAGGTAGTGATAAGCAGGTTCAAGATTTGTGCAAGTTATCAGCAAATTTGGGCCTGAAAGCTAGGAGCAATTAAATTTCACACCAACCTTACCAAAAATGGTTCTCCTACATTCTGTTCCATTTCTTCTAAATAGGTAAATATTTGTTTAATTACTCTGATATAACTTTCTGATGAAATTTAACAGAATTGTCTATTTCCTAATCGTAACCTACTATTCCCTGAATCTGTTTGGATTTTCCTTGTCATTAATTGTGAACATAGTGAAGGTCTCATATTTATCATACATAAATTACATATGTTTAAGTTCAATTAATAAAGTGAGAAATGATTATAATAATGTGAACTGTTTCATCTAGCACTTTGTTCAAGTAGGCTGAGCCCTAAAAGTAAACATGGTATGACATATGTATATGAACATTCCTGTGTGTTCCTCCTTACGTGAACAGCGCATGTTTAGTGGGAGTAGGGTTTACAGAGATGTATTTTTTACACCATGGACCTTCCATAAAGCCCATAGACAATATCTATTACACAGCTGAAGAAACAGTTGCTCTTTCCAGTTTGGAGTATAAATTAGGAGTCTGCACACACATAAACAACATGTATACATATGTGAATCGGGTCTCTGGTTGGTTTAAGGCTCTATTAAGGTTTATTTGCATTTTGTGTGACATTAATTCAGAAATTCAAGGATTGAATTTCACATTACCCAATATGCAAATTTACTTAAAAACAATAGTGCACTAACTATGTCCTCCTCTGTCCCACTTTTTAAAAAAGATAAGAAACCCAGTCTGTTTTCATTGTTTCACTACATACCCTGTTTACCTGCTTCTTCTTACCTGTCAAGCTGTAGATGAGCTTTCTGAACTTGATAAGATCAAGATTTCTCACTCTGTTTCCCACTAAAAGGTGTAGATATCTCATTATTTTCACCTATAACAGAACAAGTTAACCCAGAGTTTTATAAACCTTTGTGTGCCTCTCAGGTGCTTTTTGTCTTTAAGAGGTTTATAGATAATTTCTGTAAGGGTTTAACAGGTCTGGGATAGAGGTAATTGACAATTAATATAATAGGATGTTTCACTGATTGACCTACGATTCTTGGTAGACTAATGAAAGGAAATACTACAGTATTGATGTCTGACATTTTAGGCATATGTATAATTACTATTTTGCTAGAATGTTTTTAGCATTAGTGTTTCTAGGATTAGTATTTTGCTAGAATGTTTCTTTTTTCTAGTTGTTAAAAGAAGCCACAGAATCAAGGCACAAATACGAAGAAATGAATCAGCAAGAAGTACAATTAAAACAACAGGTAATGACAATAGAGGTTAGCAAAATTTTTGAGTCTCCTGGTTCCAAGCCAGAGCCAGAGCTAGAACTGAACTGAGAAGCATCTTTTGTCCTCTTGAAATTTTCCTCTTCACTTAAGTTGTCTAACGTATCATGTTTTGAATAGAATTTTTCTCTGTAAGTCCTGTAGTTAGGCAAATTGGTATGTCCGATCAGACTGTTTTCATCGTCCCCCATCTATTGTCTAGATTTTTCACCAGTATCTTTTTAGCTTGCCTCAACACAGGCAGAGTGTACATTTTTTTTCTTTTCTTTTTTTTTTTTTAATATGTAGAGTTAATTTCACATCCAGGTGATGTTGTGCATTTATTCTTTTTAAAGAAGAATTGGGATTCTCCTTATTTTTCATTGTCCTCTAGTGTCTTTAAGGTGGTTGCTTTTTATGGAATAAAGAGAGCAGATGCTGCATCTTGCTAAAGGAAAGATACAGGAAATATTGTGCCTTCCATCTCTGAGAGTTTTAGCAGTGCCTATCTAGTTTTGATAGAGAGGTGCAGTTAGGTATTTATTTGATATATGCATGACTTACTTTCTTTTAAGTTAAACTGTACATTCTATTGAAAAAAATGCATTACCTGTTAAGACTTCATTATGTACTGTTTAAGCACTCTCTTTTAAAATATGCTAATATATTAAGAATAGTATACATTTTCATGGGCAATCTCTGGGAATTTTTATAATGGTGTTATGAAAAAGTGAAAATTGAAGAGGATTCAAATGTTAGAGGTCTGTTGAATTTCCCACTGTCAGATTTAAGTGCCTTATTTATTAGCCATATATACTCAATGGTTCACATAAATGGAGAAGAGAGTAGATGTAAAGAATGTATGGAGAGTTTGTATTTACTTTAATACATGATCTTTAATGTGGATGTTATTGATAATTTCTGCAGGTTAAATCACCAAGAGAAACTGTTTACCAACCTCCCAGGGCATCTCTGGTTCTTGTATAATGTTATCAGTGCAGTTTCTATTATCTGAGACTTATGTCCTTTGGGTCTTATCTAATCATTAATTTGTTTTCTTTATTGTCACCTTCTTCCTAAGTGTGGCTTTGTTTCCCAAGTGTTGGGTTCACTGTGTGCTCTTACTATGTCAGTTTTTAGCCTTTGTTGATGATTTCATTGTCCTTACTGTTTTGTAATCAAGGCACATAATTTCAACTGTGTGATAATTAGCAGTTGCTAACTACTTACAACTGGCCAGCATTGAACTCAAGTAGGACAAAGTACTTGGATGTTCCATTTTTGATAAGAATGGATCATGGCTAAGACTGCTATAACTTCTAATCTCTGTCAAGTGTCATTGCATGACTCCTTCCTGTTATATTTGATATATTTGAAAAGCATCACTAATGCTATCCTTAGGCTCAATCTATTACTATTTTCTACTTTCCTTTAGCAGAACACTCAATTTTCTGGACTTCTGTTTACTCTTCCTGAATATAATACACATATATTTACATGGTCTCTGAAGTGTTTTCTCTTCATTCACAGAAAATAATTAAGCACATGCTTTAGCCATTATTTTCTCAGCTAGATTTAATTAGCTGAGGGTGATTTTTGAAATTGATGTCTCTGCCTCCTCTGGATTATATTTTTCTCAGCCATACTCACATTAATTTTTTTTTGTTTCATCCAGACTATTCTTTGACTTCTGTTTTATTTTCTTGCCTAGTATAAGCAAAGACATAGGTTGATAGCAAGCTAATAATTATATAGGTTGCCCTCTAAAAGAGTCATCTTTTTCCAAGGACAGTTTTTCAAAAACAAGTAGAAGGCTAATGCATGACGTGTTACAGTCACGCGAAATATATAGAGATAACATTGTAGTTTATTTTATAACTGATGGAATGGAGCTACCACATGTTTGTACATTTTAAATACGTATAGTTAGATTAAATCAACAAAATTTCATCTCAGTGCATTTCAGTAAGTTGCAAGAATTTTAGCCTTTTGTGTCTGCCCAAAAATGTATTGTGCATTTGTCCTCACATTTTTTTGCTTATATTAACTAACATTTATCCACATTTGTCCTCACATTTTATTGCTTATATTAACTAATATTTATCCACATTATATTCTTTTGATAGTCTTTGGGATTTTATATCACATATCTGAAACTCAGAATATTTGATACTTTTTTCTGTAGCTTTCTCTTTATATGGATAAGTTTGAAGAATTTCAGACTACCATGGAAAAAAGCAATGAACTGTTTACAACCTTCAGGCAAGAAATGGAAAAGGTATTTACCTATTTTCTGTAGAATATCACTACTGAATTTTTAAGAGATGATTTTAAGCAATTACTGTTTGGTCACAGTTTACATTGGTCTGGTTATGATTTTAATTTTATCTTTTTAGTTCCTTTGCTGACTTACTTAGAAATTTTGCTCAGAAATTACCTCAAATTGCTACTGATCTTGATACTCTGAAAATTAAATTTTTATCCTAAGGACAAATTGTTATTAAAAGTAGATTTTTTAAAAAAGAGTTGCTTCAGATGATCACCCAATTCTTTCACAAAATGTTTGTAACTTATTTTCTAAAATATAAACCAAGGAAAGCAGTAATATATTGTGTTTGCGACAGATTATTTATGAGGATCTAGCTAATACCTAGAGTGCTGTTAGTCTTTTAAATTTTATCACTATATGTATAATATAGAAGGACATCTCTGCAAAATTTAGAAAATAATTAAAATGTCATGTAGAGAAGTTTTGGGTCATTCTAATTGAAGATATGGCTAAAGAGTAGTTTTAAAGTGTATAAGATATCTGCCTTTTTCTCAAATTACTGATATCTGTTAGATGCATTGTATAAAATTCATTGGAGCAAGCTGTCTTCCACTTCCTCTTAAAATTGAGATTTATTTTTGTTTTAATAGAGAATAAGTAATAGTAGGGCATGACATTTTGTAAACTTTTGATATATATTAGTCATGATTATTACTAAAGATTATTATTACTAAGATTATTACTAAATCTTATAGGCATGGTGGTTTGGAGCACATGCCTGTTAGTCAGATTTCTTGTATCAGTAACTCATGTCATTTATGGTAGACCATAGAAAAGTTATTTAACCTTTCTATGTGTTTTTATTCTTTTATTCTTAAAAACGAAAATTTTTGACTGCTGTATATTATATAGTACTTGGCCATGTTAAGTTTTATGTTTACCACCTTGAGGTGATTTTAATCTGAGTAATATGGAGAATTAAATGAGTGGTAGATTGGTTATGCCTGATACACCTCTCAGTTAAGGCTGTAAACAAGGGACATAGTGTAAGTGTTATGTGAACTTCAGCATGTGTGTGCTCATCATGAAGGACAATTTTAAGACGGAAACTGTAATTTTGTTAACTTCTCAAGAATCCTCTGGACTGGAACACATTCCTCATCTGCTAATGGCTGTAGAGGTCAACATTCAAACCATGTACATAATCTTTCTCTCATTTTGTGGATAATTAAAATGACTTGACAAAGGGCATTAGCTCTATCTTACCCCTTGTTTCCCTCAACAATGCCAGACTCAGTATCTCTATCTAGAACAGAGCTGATATAGTAAAATAATATTAGAAACAAAGGTGAATGACTAGCATATGTAAATTTTATTCTGAACTCCTGAAAACTAAGATTTTGTAGTATTGTTTTGAAACATTGTATCTTTAAAAAAATTTGAAAGTCTTGTGAGTTTGTGAGGAGACTCGAGCTAAGGATTCAATAATTTAAATATTGGAATCACAAAGAGTCAGACACGGCTTAGTGGCTCAACCACAACAAAAGAACCTCTGTTCTTCTAAGAGTCCTGTACAACTTTGAGAGAATCTCTTGCTGTCTCCAACAGGAATGAATTGCATTCCAATCCTAACTGAGAGAGTTGAGAGTGTTGTATCAAAAGATTCCATATTCTGATGTTTCTCTGAAACTGAGAAAATCAAATTTCTTTTTCCTGTAATGTGCAAGTCTCAACTTTGTTTCTTATTGTTCCACCAAAGGGGCTTCTGTTAGTTCTGCTGGTGACAAACTATTGCAGTGACTTTTATCAAGATATAAATAGTTATCAATTACTTGATGGAAGTACCCTCTTGCATGATGAGAAGAACATTATAAAATGGTTTTGTGGTGATTCTGGCAGTTTAGAATTTAAATTTGCAAATGTGTTGGTTCACAGATGACAAAGAAAATGAAAAAACTCGAAAAAGAAGTGATAATGTGGCGTACCAAATGGGAAAATAATAATAAAATACTTCTGGAAATGGCTGAAGAGGTGAGGAGATTTACATGACTGAATAGCAAATGCTCACTTATTTCAGTATTGAGGCAGGTTAAAACTTGTGTAAGTTTGGTAAGTTACAGCAGTTTTGATTTATACATTCTCTTTCTTGCAGTAATTTAGGTTGTCTTACAGAGGTGTTTAAACTTTCGCCTTGAAGTAGTTAACTCAACTTTGTGTTGTAGACAGCTGTAAAGTATCTAAGTCTTGCTTTGTTCCGTAGTACACTTGAGAATAAATATAACTATTTAACATAGTGCTATCCATGGCTGATTCATGTCAATGTATGACAAAAACCACTACAATATTTTAAAGTAATTAGCCTCCAACAAATAAAAATAAATGGAAAAATTAATAAATAAATAGTGCTATGTAGTGACATTCAAGACATGATAAAAATTAGTTTACAGGTTGATTTAGATTACTTAGTTTTGTGCACAGTAACCTAACCTAATTTGTGTTTCATATAAAGGTTTCATAAATTTTCTGTTTCTTTCCCAGAAAACTGTCTGTGATAAAAAGTACAAGCTATTTCAGATAAAGCTGGAACGGCTAGAGAAGCTGTACAGAGCTCTTCAGATGGAAAGAAATGAGCTCAGTGAAAAGGTGCAAGTCCTTAGAGAGCAGCTCTCTGTAAAAGCATCAGATGTAGATTTAGCAACCCCTATGATACAGCCCTGCTCTTGATTCTCAGAAAGAGGTGATCACCCAGTCTAAAAGATCTCCAGGAGGCAAACTGGGGGTTGAATCCAAAGGAACAAATGAAACAAAATGCAGTTTAATTGACCCTTTTTATGTGATCTTTTCTGGGCATTGATTCTGTTGACTAAGATGAAGTATGATCACAGTATTGAGAGATATATTTTATGTATAACTTTTATATAGTAGCTCTTATTCCTTTTGTGATGAAAATTTTCTAAGTTTTTGTTTTTGTTTTTGTTTTTTTGGTTTTTTTTTACCATATATTATTTTCTTAGCTGTTGGACTATATGATACAGGAGACTGCTTAACTGCATTGTTTGATGTATACATTTTCTACTCTTTTATTGTATACTTTTGCCTTATTTTTCCTATATTGGAATGCATGTACTCATTACCTTGTCCTTTTAATTACTTCTGTTTACTTGCTCATTGCCTTATCCCTGCCTCTTGAATATAATTATCAGAATTAAAGTGAGAATTATTCTGATAATGGCTCCTCTATGTATAAATTAATACCAATTTAACTCTAGTTCATTAATATAAAAAAGAAAATAATAAAGATGATTACTTTTGACCAGTAACTCATTTAAAAGTCAGGTGAAAATAAAAGTGCAGTATGGGATATGAAACAAGCAAAGCATGTTGATTCATATTAGTTTTTGATAATATTTTCATCACTTGACAAACTGAGATAACTGCAAATTTTCAGTCCTACAAAATTGTGGCAGAATATGTGTATGAAATACCATTTGTTTGGAAAGCATTATATTCTGGCAAGTCACTGGACAAAGGCTGAAAGTTTATGAGACTTAAAAATATTTGTTTCAGTTTTAAATTGGAACATATGCATGAAGAAAAAAAATCAGTATTTAGGTGTTCGCATTTACAGTGGGAAAATTTCTGAAGTTTGAATTTTGTTCTTCATTAGTTTGATATAGAAAAGCTAAATAACCTTACTTGTATGTTTCTGTCACATTGTGATGTAAAAGGGCTTAAAAATTGAATTGTCTGATAGGAAAGAGCCCGTAATGTGAAATAGTTAAAAATTTCCATCACTGACCTTGATGATCAAGGGTACGGACAGTAAAGTAAAGAACATATATGAAAACTGACTAATTAATCTGCAAAAATTAACAAAGCCAAATATAGTAGTTTAACAGATTTTTTTTATAGTACCTCCTTTAGTTACTAAAGGGCTTGTCCTTGGCTTCTCCTTCTCCAGGGTATCCCTCTTGGCTTAGATGTTAAAAAAACCTGCTTCCCAGTGCAGGAGATGCAAGAGATGCAGGTTTAGTCCCTGGTTCAGAAAGATTCCCTGGTGAAGGGCATGGCAACCCACTCCAGTATTCTTGCCTGGAGAATTCCATGGACAGAGGAGCCTGGTGGCTTACAGCCCATGGGATCTGAAAAAGCTGGACACAACTGAACAATTACCACTTAGGTTACTAACTGAAAATATTGGACCCACTTCTGTGAGAGAGAAAATAAAGATATGTGCTAGAAATTAAGATTTTTTTAAACATAATATGATTGATGGTATTTCACTAGCATCCTACTGCTTATAAGATATTGACATTTAAGATTGAGGTAGTTGTGTTGCCTGCCACACTTCTTTGTGGCACTTGTTTCTATGTAAGGTAAATCTTGAGCTGAATTCAGTGTGGTTGACAGGAGTTAATTCAGTTTTGGGGATACTAGGTATATTGGCTATTGTGTGAAATAATATAGATATTAAAAATATGTAAATTCTATGGGATGCATTTGGTTTCTCCTCACAGTTTTGCCTCTGACTGTCGCTGTACCACCTTTGATTCTTCAACCCTTGTTTGAAAATACTTTAACTGGCTGACGAAAAGTTGCCATATGATTAAATTGTGCTTGCTTTACCATTTTAGGGAATCTTTTAGAGTGTAAAATCTATAGTGGCAGTGGATACCAAAGTACACAAAAAATGAGGGTGTAGAATAACTTAATTGACCATTATATTTTTAGTTGTGTAGGATGAAATTTTGTGGTTAGGAGCCCAGTATTTTTTTTTTTTTTTTTTTTCTTTTCCTTTTGACTGTCACATTTCTCAGGTGCTGCAGAAATATCTACCTCTTTCAAGCTATAAATAGAAAATTACTGAAAATGCTAAATACACTCCTATTTTTATAACATACATTTTTCTGAGGATAAAAGATTAATGAGGCTGTCACTTTGCTTTTCAAAGACATTTTGTAGCTGTTTCGCAAATTTGAATTTTACCTGCTCTGTTAAAGGTAGAGTAAATCTGTGATGACTAATGTAATAGCCTCTGTGTATTATTTACACTTAATGTGATTTCACGTGACAGTGATCAACTGCAAAGCTAACTGTAAAATGATTTTTCTGCCCTTGGAAACATAGGTAATTACTGCATCTTTTAAGTAAGTTGGGGTGAAGGAGACTACTTCCTGATTGACCAGCAGAAGTCAGTTTATTTAGCCAAATTCTGTTAGCACCTTAGTTTCTTCTCTTGTAAAGTTTGTGTTTTAGGGGACTTCCCTTGTAGTAGTGGTTAAGGCTTTGCCTTCCAGTGCAGCTGGTGCCAGTTCAATCCCTCGTTAGGGAAACAATATTGTAACAAATTCAGTAAAGACTTTAAAAAAATCAAAGAAAGAAAAACATCTTTTGAGTAGATATTTAGAAAGTATCTATAGTGTGACATCTGCCAACACTTTGATTTTCTCTAGGTTTAGATGACCTTATTAAGGAATGTCTGTATATGGAATTTTAGAGACTTCTATTGATAGAATTGTATTTTTGATAATCAAAAATTAAGCTTATCCAATTTTATATAAGAAAGCAAATTTTTAGTTTTTGTTTGAACAACCTTGAGTGTCCAGATAAGTCACTTGATTAAGCAATAGAGATCAAGACAACTATTGTGCAAATGGTGTTGGAAAATGCCATGAGTCAACCACTTTATGGAAACAGCCAAAATTGTAAATGGTTTATGTAAAACATTTGTACAAAGGACATTTTCTAGAAAATGAAAATAATTATAAAATGAGAGCATGATGCAGCTCTGCATGCCAAGGAGAAACCTAAACCCTCTTAATTTTTGTGCTCAGCTGGCATGGCATTGGAAAATGGAAACTGATGTCTGGGGGCATACCATAAGGAAGGATACTTTTGAGGATTACTAATAGTTATATTTTTAAGTAGATTTACTCAGAGGCCTGGAGGACACCTTATTTCCCGGGTATAGTGCATATATGACCCTGGAACTGCTGGAATGCTCCTAGATGAGGCAGATGCAAATAAATTTGGCATTTTGAGCAGTGATTATTTTGTGTAACAGGCTTTCAGATACAAAAGCCAGGGTCCGTCTGAAGCCTCAGATCTGTCAGAAGTAGTGACTGAATAGTGTCTTAAGAATATCCTTTAGTCAAAGAGGACACAAATAGATGGAGAAATATACCATGTTCATGGATTGGAAGAATCAATATTGTCAAAATGGCTGTACTACCCCAAAGCAATCTATAGATTCAATGCAATCCCTATCAAACTACCAACGGTATTTTTCACAGAACTAGAACAAATAATTTCACAATTTGTATAGAAATACGATAAACCTCAAATAGCCAAAGCTATCTTGAGAAAGAAGGATGGAACTGGAGGAATCAACTTGTCTGACTTCAGGCTCTACTACAAAGCCACAGTCATCAAGACAGTGTGGTACTGGCAAAAGACAGAAATATAGATCAATGGAACAGAATTGAAAGCCCAGAGGTATACCTATGGACAGCTTATCTTCGACAAAGGAGGCAAGGATATACAAAAGAAAGAAGACAACCTCTTTAACAAGTGGTGCTGAGAAAACTGGTCAACCACTTATAAAAGAATGAAACTGGAACACCTTCTAACACCATACACAAAAATAAACTCAATATGGATTAAAGATCTAAATGTAAGACCAGAAACTATAAAACTCCTAGAGGAGAACATAGGCAAAACACTCTCCGACATAAATCACAGCAGGATCCTCTATGACCCACCTCCCAGAATATTGGAAATAAAAGCAAAAATAAACAATGGGACCTATTTAACTTAAAAGCTTTTGCACAACAAGGGAAACTGTAAGCAAGGTGAAAAGACAACCCTCAGAATGGGAGAAAATAATAGCAAATGAAGCAACAAAGGACTAATCTCAAAAATACAAAAGCAGCTCCTGCAGCTCAATTCCAGAAAAATAAATGACCCAATCAAAAAATGGGCCAAGGAACTAAACAGACATTTCTCCAAAGAAGACAAACAGATGGCTAACAAACACGTGAAAAGATGCTCAACATCACTCATTATCAGAGAAATGCAAATCAAAACCTCAATGAGGTACCATTACACACCAGTCAGGATGGCTGCTATCCAAAAGTCTACAAGCAATAAATGCTGGACAGGGTGTGGAGAAAAGGGAACCCTTTTACACCGTTCATGGGAATGCAAGCTAGTACAGCAACTATGGAGAACAGTGTGGAGATGCCTTAAAAAAAAAAAAAAAAAAAAACTAGAACTGCCATATGACCCAGCAATACCACTCCTGGGCATACACACCAAAAAAACTAGATCTGAAAGAGACACATGCACCCCAATGTTCATCGCAGCATTATTTATAATTGTGAGAACATGGAGGCAACCTAGATGCCCATCAGCAGACAAATGGATAAGGAACCCATGGTACATATACACAATGGAATATTACTCAGCCATTAAAAAGAGTTCATTTGAATCAGTTCTAATGAGATGGATGAAACTGGAGCCCCCTATACAGAGTGAATTAAGCCAGAAAGATAAAGACCAATACAGTGTACTAACACATATATATGGAATTTAAAAAGATGGCAATGATAACCCAATATGCAAAACAGAAAAAGAGACACAGAGGTACAGAACAGACTTTTGGACTCTGT